TAATTTTCACTCATTTTCTGTTCACTAAGTATCACAAAAAATATTTTCTCGCAAAATATCACTTGATATACACAAAAGTTGTTGAGAAATCTTTAACTTGCTTTCTATTTTTAACCACCTTTTTTTCTATCTTTCTCTTTTGCTATTTTGAAATTTATAGTCAAATGCCAAATGAGAAGGAAATTATTATAATTACAAAAAAAAAAGTTTATATGCGATCAGATTTTTTTTCTTACTTTTATATTTCTTCTTTTTTATTCCTTTACTAAACTTTTTTTATTGCCTATGCTTTAATCACTAATATACACTCAGAGCGCGCTCTGAGGATACCTGAAGAAACACGTCTGAACAGTAGCGCGACGTAAAATCAACTAGAACAGACGGCAAGCCAAAAAGCATTTGAACTTGGCTGTTGAAAAACTAAAATAACAAAAAAAATTCCGTTTTCCTTTTTACTGTTTACAAAAATACTTTCTTACTCTCCCGCTCGATTCTGATTCTCTTTCTCTTAAATTTTCAACTCTCTAGAAAAATTTTCACTGAGAATGAAAATGTCTGTTGATATGAACTGACTCTCCCTAATTGAATTTTAATTTGTCAGGTGTAAAACAGACAAGAAGAGGAAAAACTCGAAAGAAAATTATGAAGGAAATTGTCAGAAGTTGTCAAATTAACAGGAGAAAATTTTAAAATACGTTCATGAAATATTGAAGGTTTGCTAGTGAACATGAAAATAAAATCAGCTGTTTGTAGAGTTCATAAGTTTGATGTGTTAATAAATAATTTTGTAAGGATCAGGGTGTGGATTGAAATACTAAGGAAACTTTTTTAAAAATACTTTGGGCACAAAAAAATTAATCACATCTTGATAATCTGTTTTTTTTACCTCAGAATGAGGTTTATAAATTAATGAAGTTAAGAACATTTATTGTCATTTATTAAAATGTTCTTTCACAAGATGACAAAGCGAATAGTAAACTTTAACCCAAGTGGCAGCTCCTTGAGAGACATTTTCATGAAACAACTTTTCAATTTTTACCTTTCAGTGATCCTTGATTATTTATTCACTACACAAAAAGTCAACGTCTACATATGGAGTTCGCAAGTCAGATTTCAGTATTTACAGCATAAAATCTTGGTTTTACGTATCAGTCATTAAACTTAATATTTTATAATTAAACTAACGAGACATTGAAGTGCTCAAACATTCATTAATATTGAAATATGAATTGGCAGCTGTTCCTATAATAAAGTAAGTTTTCTATGAAAAATTTCCAGACATTTCACTCATTTTAAAATTAATTTTTTTTGTATAATGAACTAAAAATTTATAATTGGCATGTCATAGCATTTTCTATATTTCATTAATTCTACATGTTCGATGCGTTTCCATTCTCATTTTGATGTACTACGTAGCATATACAATAAATCTAATGTTCAACTCCTATATATCGACCTGAATACTTTATTATGTCTGTACAGTACATATATGCACTCAACATGTTCTCATAATGCACTTATTAAATTATTTATTATAATTTTCAAATATGAATAAAATGTCATCATCGTTCATATCATAATTGCATATTGGACATTCAGAATAAGTCCATAAATGAATATTTATGGTCAGGGGCGTAGCCAGGGTGGGCCATAGGGAGCCCGGGCCCCCCCCCTACGAAAATCTGATAATTGTTTTATTAAGTATTTATAGAGAAGAACCAGTTAATGTAGAGGAAGTATTGAAAGAAATGTCAAAATCAGCACGAAAAATTAAATTTAATGTATGAATAATGATTTAAATATTTAAACTTATGAAGAATGAATATAGATTTAAGGATACAAAATAACGGTTTTTTAATTTTCGAAAATGGGCCCCCCCTTAAAAATTTTCTGGCTACGCCCCTGTTTATGGTGATAATCGCTAGTTTCTCGTTTTTCATCCATCTGAAATATTCCTATTTATGCACTGACATGTTTTGCTATTGCTTTACTTTCATCGATTTTAATTCTCACATTTAAGACTGTAATATATAATTAATAATTATAGCACTGAACGAAAACATAAATGATAATGAGCATAAAATGTAAATGGATAAAAAAACATGAACGAATTCAAATAAAACTATCTCTACTTACCTACAAAATATTGTGCATAGGCTATACATAGTATATCCCTGACAGACAGATGAGTTTATTCATGGTATCATAACATACTCAAGAGTAATATAACATTTTAAATCAGATTTTAATCCAGGGGTGTATCGAAGGGATTTTGAAAAAAAGGAAATCAATTGAAGCAATACACAAGCTAAGCCGAGAACATAGTCAAAGTGCTTCAAATACACCATTAGTAATAAAAATATGAGCTAATTATGAATATCGCAACCGAACATTTCTGTTAACACATTTTTCTCCTCGCCAACTATCGTCATTGCTGTGTTTTTGCCATGATGGATGAAGCATGTTATTAATAGGCACAATTATTTCTGTTTCTACAACAACATAAAAATGTAACAAATAGAATATTGTTAATGGATTGTCGACACATATTTAATATTTCGATGTTTTGGTGTGAATCAGTGCTTAAATAAGAATCATAACTATAGCAAAAATTAAGGAGTCAAAAACTAGATTCCAAAATTTTTCAATTGGCTGATCAATTAGATTTTGATCAATTTTTGTTCATATTTGATAATTTTTGATAATTTTTTGATGATTTTGACCAATTCCTCAACCCTGCTTAATTCTATAGAAGCTCTTGAAAATTTATTGACACCAGCTATCAAATATGACTTTTAATATCAAGTCAAATGAGTTTTAATGAAAATAACTTCTTTAGACCCACCAATATTGCATTAAACAAAACGTGTACCTTTTATTGATTGTGTACAAAAGGAAATCGTGATAAAATAAGGCAAAATAACCAATTGAAATCAAATATTGCAATCTAAATTTTAAACTCAGCGAAGAAATCCAAGAAATGCGTAATCATTTCAAATTAATAAGGACATACATGATAAATTAAATCATTTTCTTTTGCACAAACTTTTTAACGACCATATTACATTTAAAGTTTTTATTTCACTACACAAAAATCCCCCTTCTTACAAGTTATCAGATTAAAAACATAATCTCAGTATTTGAATCAAGTTGTTCATTATTTGATTGAAAATCAAATTTCAATTTGTATGATTTACTGATTAGGAAGAAAAGCTTTTTTTTATGAAAGCAGCAATTTAACAATGATAAAAACATATAGCCAGGGTGGGGAGATTTTTTGCGATTTAAATCAAAATCGCAGAATTTATTTTTGATTTCGATTTAAATCTCAATGACAAATGATTTTAAAAAGGGATTTTGATTTAAATCACTTTACCAAAGTGATTTTTTTCTCGATTTTGATCATTTTTGCACAGGGATTTTTTTTGGGATCAAATATGACTGAAAACTATGCTTTATACTTACATAATTAGATAAACATACTTTGTAGTCATCAGGTATTAAAGAAACCGATTAGTTCCGCAAAAAAAATTTGACTTCAAGAGGTGATTCCTTGATGAAAAATCAACAAAAAAAATTTTTGTGGATGTAAAGGAACTAGGCAGTTCAAGTGCTTATTCTTGCTAATGACTCATTAAACAAACGTAGACTACTTTGGTACTGTAATAAAAGACATTTAAGATTTTAAAAGCAATGAAAGCAGGTAGTTCCTCATATAGAGTAAGATCCAGGCATGCTTGATGAAGTCAAGTTATTTAAATGTAAGCAGCAAGGCACAGAAGATTAAAAATCACGAATTGGATTTCGTATAAGTCAAACAGCATGGAACCATTGGTTGCTGTAACCTTTATTAAAGAAATGATCAAGGGTGTGGTACTGATGAAATGATCAAAGATGATCAAAGTTGATCAAAATGTAATTCTTCAGTACCACACCCTTGGAAATGATTGGATCTAAAAGATCCAGTTGCAAGATTCTGGCCGAAAAAGGATCAACTGCATTCTTATTTATGAGGAACTGCAACTGAAAACTGTTGTTTTAAAAATAATTTGAGAAATTGCATACAAAAATTTTATATGGAGGGATTTTAAAATCCCAAAAAAAAAATCTTTCATACAAGAGATTTAAATCAAAATCCCTTTTTAAAATCATTGCAAAAAGATTTTGATTTTGATTTTTGATTTAAATCACCCACCCTGCATATAGCATTGACAGTTTTTTATGCCGAGAAATCGAAAAAAAAACTATTTTTGTTGCTTAACAATTTTTTTGCATTTAATACTTGGGGATGACAAGATCTATGCTACTTTTATTTTTATTTTTCTTTTTACTTTTAATCGTGAAATTCATACAATGAAGATCAAATAGAAACCAGTTTAATCTGATAACTCGTGACCGAATAAAGCGCTAATACACTATTTGAGTAGGAGTTGACGGAAAGGAACAATTTTAATAAGAAGATGCTTTAAAACGATTGAATAACAATGGTTTGAAAAATATTTATAGGAAGTATGAGAAAACTTTTGAACCAACATCCTCCTTCCTTTAATTGCCTTTGATACATTTTTTGACAAACCTAATTCAGCTAGAATCAGAGAATTTTTTGCTCAGTTCCATATCTAAGAGTCCTTTTGATTGGTGAAGGTTGGCAAGGTAAAATTAGTGATTTGAACACTTCAAAGATGTATGTTCCATATTAAACTGCGTCAATTTTTGTTTGAATCACACAAAGACACTTATAATTATTATGCTTAATGATCTCACATTTATTACTAGACCGTGATACTTTGTCGCTTTAAAATTAATTATTTTTCCTTCCTTTTCGTTCAATTATGACGTCCGAAATTAACGGTCATTTTTCAAAAAACGAATAATGGATTTCCAGGAATTTCTATTGTTCTTTTCTATCTGACCCCCCACCCATTGGACGTCATAAGTGAACGACCCCTTAAGACAAATCGGTCATAAACTATCTTCAATTCTATAACTATTGAAGCATTTTAATCAGAATTTAATCCAATTGATTCGAAATAATTGTAAATTTCTAATGCACAAACTCCCAGCAATAAAAATATTAATATGTATAGCAAAATAGGATCAAAAATTGTTGGTTCTTTGCAACTATCGAGATAAAAGCTGATGTAGTTGCAGACATCAACTGCTTTTACTTTGAATTCTGGATAATACCAAAAAGAAACATTCCACTTTACTTTTTCCATGCATTTGTCAATAAATGATTGTGGAGTAATACTATTGATGTGACCCATAATAAGAAACTCTTTCGTTATTTTGTATGAAAGATCTTCCTTATTTTTGGTAACACGACAAGTTTTCATGAGAAGGAAGCATGTCTCATAAGGAAAATTCACATCCAATAATGAAGCCTTAATACTTATATTAGATTGAGATCCACAATGTTCTTGATTGTTGTTAAACATGATGCAATAAGCATCAAAGTCTATTTTAATTTTGTTAATTTCAGGAACTGCCAAAGTTGCATATGAAATATTTGACGTCAATTTGATAGCAAATCCACGTTCAAATTTTTGGTCGATGATTAGAATCGGAAATTTGTGAAATATATTACTGCTGCTCACTCTAGTGATGAAAAAGCCAATGTTATCGATTGATTCTTCTATCCAAGATGTAGAATAGTCAGTGATAAAATAAACTGAATTTTCTTGATCGATTTTTTCTTGTACATAGATCCTCTGCTTTTCAACCTCTTTATCTGATTTGCAATTAAAAAACATTGATTCTGCATCGTTTATAAGGTAAAACAGGATGAAGTAACTAATCGTCTGCATTTGAGTACTTATGCTTATGAACTGAATTTTATATTATTTTCATTAAACCATAATCGCATTAATCTAAATAAATTAGAACTCATAGATGATTGTTCATCAAAATATATTCAAAACGGCTAACATTAGTCTTTGTAATGCCTGTCCACTCTGGATTCTTATTATCTTAACTGATGGCATTAAAATGCATTAGGTGATTCTTTTGTCAAAACCTAAGTAATAGATAGTTATTAGTTGTGAAAAAGAAGAATCCATTAAATCAGAAATAAATTGTGGTTAATTGAAATGATATTTATGCGCTTATGGTTCTGAAAGTAAAGCATGAAAATTGTGGATATGGCTCGAAAAGCATATCTGTAATAGATAGGCCTGAGCAAAGGGCTCGCGTTGAACTGGTTATATGTGTGGTCGGAGATCACCTCTTTTGAGGTCGTGGGTTTGATTCCCTTCGAACTCGACTTGTTTTACATTAGTATACACCAGGGGCGTAGCCAGAAAATTTTTAAGGGGGGGGGGGCCCATTTTCGAAAATTAAAAAACCGTTATTTTGTATCCTTAAATCTATATTCATTCTTCATAAGTTTAAATATTTAATTCATTATTCATACATTAAATTTAATTTTTCGTGCTGATTTTGACATTTCTTTCATCACTTCCTCTACATTAACTGGTTCTTCTCTATAAATACTTAATAAAACAATTATCAGATTTTCGTAGGGGGGGGCCGGGCCCCCTATGCCCCCCCCCCCCTGGCTACGCCCCTGGTATACACATATGAAAGTTATAGGGAGATCTACAAAAATGGTCTTAAATTGGTGATAAACTAAAAGTAGGAATCATCAAAAAAAAATTGTTTCTCTGATTCCGAGATACACAATCATTCATTTACATCGAGACGATGAATCCATGACTCATTATTTAAAAGATTAAAAATCTCAGAATACGCATGTGTCCGCAAAATCATCACCTGTTGACGATGATGGATCAAAACAAAATTTGTTATCAAAAATCCTTTGACCAAAAAAGTAACTGTGAAAATACGTTCGTGATTTGCATAGGAAATCCCCGAGAGAATCAAAACATAAATTTTAACACGCTCAGTGTATGTCTATGTGTGAGTTAAAACCTCTCTCAATAATTCTTAATGTTTTAAAAAAAAATATGTAAATAAGCCACGATTGAAATTTTAAAAACAACGCACATTAATTTGCAAGTGAAATTAAAGAAAGTTGGATGTGACAATTGAAAGCAAATGATATGAATTGATTTGAATGACAGCAGCAACAAAATAAACAATTGGGAAATACCAAGTTTTCGTTGAACTAATGAATTATTTCCATATATGCCGATCAGCGTTGAGTAATGATAAGAATGAATCAAGCATCTCAATATTAAGTTTACTTATTAACAAAGACTCGTGGATGACTTGTTGCTTTACTATTATTTTCTTTACTATAATCGGGTTAGAAATTCTCACTTAAACTTTTATATTTATGAGAATAAAAAGTTACAATTTTTACGTAGGTATGACAAGAATTAATATTGCAAATGTGTTGAGGACGAGAATTCCAGAATAGCATTTTAAAGAAAGAAGCTTGTAAAAAAATGAGAATCAGAGAAAAGTTATCATCGTATTGTGGCATAAGTGGGGATGAGCATTATATATAGACTTTACAGACACTCAAACTTGCCACAATCTTTTTAATTCTTCTTGAGTCTTCGTCTTTCCGTAATTTTTTATTTGTTATTTTGGTTAAAATAATTTTTTTATTTTGTTATCAAGTTTTTTGTTTTATTTGGTGAAGTAAAAATAGTCAAGGTCACTAAATATGAAGTATCTTGTAATTCTACTTATTTCTGTGATATATCTCGTTAATGCTGGTAAGTATCAATGGATACAACAAGAACTGTAAATTAAAAAGAGTGGATTTTTTTTTATTATAAAAACCGTTATAAAGCTGCAAAAAAATAGTCCAAAAGAAATTGCATAAATGTGAACAAATCTAATCAAAAATTCAATGACCCATGATACACACAGTGAAATTTTATAAACATTTTTATTTTGAGTTTCAATCATGTTAGAATGTGTCTGAAAAATTAAGAAATTCATATGATGGTGATCGTTCGAAAGAAATCCCGAACTAACCGGTTATTTTTATTCATTTGGGTTTTTTATTTAAAGAATATACGATGAGATTTATAATAAGTAGTACAATGCTAAACATTTACAATAGTTGCACATTCAATTAGCATGATGATTCTTAAGTAATTGTAAATTGATACCTTTTGTTCATCCAAGAGTTTTTCGGTATTTTTTTTTAAGTCAGCAATAGGCTTCAACATTATTGCAATTTAACACGCGAATAAACATGATTTCATCTTTAGTCATAAATATCTTGATGATGACGATGATAATGGATGGATGAACAAAGAGCTGTTATTACTGATGTGTGTTGAAGCAGAATTAGTAATAAAAACAACAAAAACATGTTTATTACTTACACGTTACAGGCTACAATCATTTAATTTGCGGTAAACTGCCATTGACCTTGATTAAAAGCAGAATCTTCAACTCAACTTATTCATGGTTTTGCTGGTTTTTATTTCTTGTTTCCTTTCTCATGCCTTGTTCTTTCTCCATTTGTCTGTTTTATATGAAAAAGAGAGCAAATTAATAAGAAGTAGTTGGACAGGATGAGAAAATTTCATTAGCTTTCTAGCACAACAAAGATTAATATTTTTTTCTTCTAGAAGAAATTTTTTAAAAGATTGTTGCTATATGTTGTTTTAGAGACTCTCCTTAAATTAGCATTCACTTCCTTAGTAAGAGCTTAAGTGGGTTCATTGACTTATTACAAAAAATATTTTATCAAAAACTAGCAAAACTTGATAGGAACTTAATGATCATTTGCAACATTTTGTGATCATATTGCTGTTACCTCATTTGATCACTAGGACCCTAGCAACACTAATGAAAATTAGACATTAACATGTCATACAATAACAATTCGTCTTAAGTACTCATCAAATCTGTTCTTCCGTGATTACTATTCTCAAGTCTATCTTAACACTTTTTATGGCTGAATATCTAAAGTTTTACTTGATACACTAGTCATTTCCCTATTTGCATACTGTGAAGTTCAGATACTTACTGGAAATATTATTAAATCCAATGATGCTATAAGGGATCGTTCACTTATGACGTCCGAAATTAACGGTCGTTTTTCAAAAAAGAACAATGGATTTCCAAGAATTTCTATTGTTCTTTTCTTTCTGACCCCCCCCCCCCCCCCTGGACCGTCATAAGTGAAGCTTTCAATAGCTTGCATGCAATTAGAAAAAAGTGATAATTTTGGATTTTCCATCACTTGAAAGTTCAGATCAGTTATAAGTTAAAACTTAAAAAAATCAATTCAAGAAAATAACGAAATGAATATAAACACACAAATAAGCCAAAACATGAGTCAAGTAGACTGTAGTGATAACCTTTTTTTTGTTGCTTCATCACCGGTTTTTTTTGATATTGTATGGCTACTTATGTTATCATATGAATCGTAGCTTGAATATTCAACACAAAAAATTTGTTTTCATTTTTCTCAAAAAACAAACATCATTAAGAGAACTAAAAAAACAATATTTTTAGATAATGGCGATTATGTACCAAGAAGCGTTTACTTTATTGATGAGAACGGAAATCCATCAGTTCCACAACCAATCAATTCTGTAAGAGATAATTTAACATGAGTCATAAATTAATGATTAATTTGTGAATTTTTATTACTATAGGGACTTTTAAATCGTGTCAGAAGACAAGTACAGCCAGGTTTCGGAGGGTTTGCATTCCCACAGCCAGTCTTTAACTTCCCACAATTCCAACCAGGTCAAGGCCAAGGACAAGGCTCCTTCGTTCAATCATCACAAACACTTTCATCTCGTTTTGGTGAAGATGAGCCAGTCATAACCGGACAAACTCAAACTTTCCATACCTCCGGTGGAAAATTCCAATCTACAAGCACTGTCTTACGTCCTGACGGATCAGTTCAAACAAATAAACAAACTGGTGAGTCTTGAGTGATGAGTCTTTTATGGTACACCATTTCATATCAACTTTCAAAATATGGTATGCAAATTTTCAATTGTTAATGAAGCTACTACTCACTTCCATGATTCATATTATCTAGTAAGAGAATGACCACAGCAAAGACAATTGAAGAAGACACATTGTCTATATAATATATATACATTCAAAATTAAATGGCACACAAATAATCTCTTTTTTGGCACTCTAATACTGCATGCTCAATAAATCTTCATACACAAATCTTGTCAGAAGAAAAAGCATGAAAATGTGGATTAGGTTAATCACTGAATCAATTTGAATAATCATTAATACCAAGTCCATATTGTTGAAATACTTTCAGGTCGCTATTCTCCTTCTGGACGAACAAATTAATTGTGCCGATAAGAAATATTTAAAGAATTTAACAACAAAAATTAGCGATATATCCTTGTTCTTAATTTCTTTAACTTTTAAATTGTATGATTCCTATAAAAGTGTACCATTATTAATGTTGATAATAATGAAGTAAAGAACAGACATAAATCATTCTTTAAAGAAAGACCTGTTTTTAAAAAAAAGAGACTTATAAATTTTGACAATTTTTATAACATTAACGTCACAAATGTATCATATCCTCATTATATCATTTAGGTAAGGTAAAGCGTCAAACATCTCAAGTTCAAAGTCAAGGAGATGAAGATGGATCAAACCAATTACAATCACAATCTAATGATCGTCCTACTGGAGCACAATTCCAATCACAGAATCAACATGGTATGTCACAGACACAATCTCAAGGAGCAGGTCCACTCCCTCAACAGCCTCAACCAGCTGACAGACAAAATATTCCACAACAACCTCAACCAGCTGATAGACAAAACTTGCCGGAACAACCACAACCTGCTGATAGAGCACAAAACTTGGGACCACAAGGTCAACAAGGACATCCCCAAGCCCAGCAAGGACATCCTCAAGGTCAGCAAGGACATCAACAAGGAGGTCAACCAAACTATCAACAAGGAGCTCAACCAAATTATCCACAAGGAGGTCAGCCAGGATTTCAGCCTGGTTTTGGAGCATTCCCATTCGGATTTGGTGGTTTTGCACCAGGATTTGGATTTCCACAACAAGGATTTGGATTTCCTCAAGGAGGATTTGGATTCCCAGGCGGTAAAAACTTTCTTTATTTATTCTGTAATAAAGTTGTCCAATAATAATGATGCTATGCATATTATAGGATTTCCTCAACAAGGTTTTGGTGGAGTTCCACAACCCCAACCAGGCTTCGTAGGTGGTCAAAATTTAGATAACAGATTTGGAGAAGATGAAGTTCCAACAGGTGTTGTTGGCGTAGGACAAACAATCACAAGTCAAAATGGTCAATATCATGCAACAAGCTCAATTTTAAAACCTGATGGACAAGTCATTACGACTCAGCAAAGTGGTAAATTTCCAAAAAAGAATTAAATCATTTGTGCTGTGATTCATTAAACATAAATTATTACTATAATTAAAAAACAAAAAATCTTGTATGTGAGGTGAAACTTTCATTTAGCATGACATATAGCATGTACACAGTCACATTGCACAATATCATTTTTGTAAGCATTTATGTGTTAAAATGTTCAATAATAAAAACAGAAATTTAAGACTTAATTTTTTACCATGATTTATATAGGAGCACATAAAGGATAAATAAAGCAGTAGACAGCAGTAATCATGGATTAAATAAATAAACATTAATATAATTGTGACTCAATTTGGAAATATCTAGTTCTTATTAAGAATAAATAAAATATGAAAAAAAAAAAATAAAACAATTTAAATTTGCTTTAATAATTTTTATTTGACTTTTTTCGAGGATCTTTTTCATGTACTTTCCTAAGTTGTAGACATAATTCTCATTGTGAAAACATTTTTTGACAAGAAATTTGTTTTTGTTATCCTAATTACTCTTCACAGTTATAATTACCAGAAGTATATTTTTAAGAAAGATTAAAAGACATTTTAGTTCCATAATTGGATGTAATACAATGCTTACAATCAAGTTTTTCTACTTCCAATTTATTATAATGTACAAATTAAAATAATTTTCATTTTATATGATTTTCAGAAGCAGAGTTGCTTGGGGGGCCGTTCACATAATACGTTCGCATTTTAGGGGGGAGGGGGAGGGGGGGGGGGGGGGGTTAAAAATTGTAACAAAATGTAACATAGGGGGGGGGGGGTCAAGAAGTATGTAACGTTCTAACTGTTGTCTGTGTTAAAAAAAAGTTCACGAAAAAAATTTGTTTACAAATTCATACCAAAAACATTTTTTTAAATTTTTCACCTTTTTAATGATAAAATAAATTATGAACGTTCAGAGGAGTGGGGGGGGGGGGGGGTTGTGAGTTGTAACATATTGTAACAAGGGGGGAGGGGGGGGTGAAAAAAGTCATTTTTTGCGTAACGTAATAAGTGAACGGCCCCTTGACATAAATTAGCAGCAAGAATTTTCTAAGACTTACTGGACAGTCTTACTATGTAAATCTTGACATTTCTGGTTTTGACTATTTTCGACTTAAACTTAAGTCGTTCAAATCAGAATTTTCATCATACTACAATTCCTAATTCCTGAATATATCAACTTAATAAGGAGCATACTTGCTTAAACTGTTTGCTTCTTAAAATGGATTCATTCTAAAGATCTCGATACTTTCCATTAGAAAGTGTCAAGACAAATGCATCATAGTCGATGGAGTTACTCTAGTCATATGACAACTCTGATTCCGAATCTTAAATTTTTTAAAAGAATCAATTGTTGACAAACATTAATTTGATCATTTTTTGCAATTACTGAATGACTGCAAGATGTGGAAAAATAGTGTATATCTAGATTGAAAAGTGATCTGATAATGATTATTGTAACTTACAAAATTTGAGCAAGAAAATAACGATCTTGTGTTGACAAACTTTTCTTTATATTCAATAGTCAATCAGTTCTTTTTGATAATGTTTGTGATTCCAATATTTGCTTAAAAATCATTGGCATGAAAACTATCAACGATTACAATTTTTTTTTTGAGAATTTTGACTTTTAAATTTTTAAAAATATTTCTGAAATTTCTTCATATTTGGCGGAATCATAAACTAATGAGGGAACTAATGATACTTTAGTAATAACTTTCAAAATTATTGTTTTTAAGAGTCTACTATTGTTTTATTTTCATTCAAGTAATCTTCTTTATCACAAATAACTTATGCTGTTTATATACAATTTAATTAAGCTTCAAGCATGATGCTTTTAGCGAAAGCAACATTATTTAGCATAACTTCTGTTTATTAATTTCAGTGCATAGTAGTTTTGTTTATAATTTTAATTATATTGTGTTTATTTCTTAATTGATTATAAAGAGACTGAATTACTAGATATTATCAATAAATATGATCAGAAAAAGCTCAAGCAATTTTATTTTTGTATTTTTAATATTCCTATGTAATGTCAACGGAAACAACTTTACTGAATTTTTAAGTCTTTCATTTTCTTCTTCTTTAAATTTCAAATATATTGCTAGGGATAATGCAGAAATTTGTGGATCATATAAGGATTCTTAGAATAAATCTGAATAAAATAATCTTGGATTATTATCAGTTTATGTTGTGGAATAATACCTGAAGTAATCATTATAGAGAATAGTGCATGATTCTGATACTTTAATATCGAAAACATGATTCATTTTCTTCTAAAATACAAGGGCTGTATCCAAAATTCATAAAACAATGGGCAAGATCAGAAAAAAAGGGAATAAATATTCAAATTCAGATTTCTCTGCTTTTAATAACTTAATTAATATGATTCCTTCACTACATGATAGCTAATAATAGTAAGTTTCTTTTTAACATTCATTTTTCAAAATGGCGACTTATTAAGTTAGTTTAATTAACAAATTAATATTTGAAATCAATTTTTCTTTGAAAAGAAAGCAAGATAAATGTTTGGAAGCTTGACAAAAGTTGTAGAGCTTGCTTTTTTCTATCATGTGATCAAAATAGACTTTATTAAAAATGAGTTATTTTAGTTAAATTAACTGAAAACCAAATTGAATTTAAAATGTATTTTTAAATCAAAACTATTAACCTTAATCGGTCAAGAACAATTACTTGATATCTAAAGAGTCTTTTACTATTTAATTTACATTCGAAAAAGGCTTAAAAGTAAGTTAAATTAACTATAAAAACAATGAAATTTAAGTTGAGCAACAAATTTTGCTCTTATTTGCTCACAAATTTATAATTTTAAAAACCGTTACAAAATTTTTGGTCAAATTTTTTACTATTATTTAATTTTCTCTGCTTGTCTTGAACAAAAAGTAATATTTCTTTTGCAATATGATAAACATTGTTGAATTCTATAGTTTGAAATGAAAAAATCAGTAGACGAATAACACAGCAATGACTTATGACTAGTTTTGTAAAACTCATCATAACTTGGATAATTATAGTAAAATTGAAAATTTTCTCTCACAGACTTAAAGAAAATTACATATATAACCGTTTTTGTAAAGAAAGATAGTTCCTAAACTATTTCCATCATATCAAAATTTCAGCTTCAACATTTTAAAGCTGAATTAAGCTAACTTACAAATCCGCCATTTTGTATATTTTAGACAAAACTTTTAATGATCTGATTACTTAATTATCTGGTGAAAAAATCGTTTTGATTAATGAAGTATTCGCAAAGATATTACATTTGCAACATGGTGTAAAATCGAATTTCCTCAAAATTGTTCGTGACGCTTAGCACTTTAAATTAATTTTTAATTATAATACAATGTCTAAGAGATACTTGTTATACACCAAAATATAGGTCTTGGCAAGGACTTTAAGAAAAACACAAGTCTTAAATACATATTTCGCATTATTGATTCAAAAATTGTAAATTATTGTTAAGCGTCACGAACAATTCATTTTTGATCTTGCCCCAATGTCTTCACAAAATTTGAATAATTTTAGAATACACCCCCATGCAAACTACAGTAGGTTCTCTTTTTTACAAATATATCATAAATAATATATATTTTTTCATTTTATAAAGCATAGCAATGTATGACAAGCTTCAACTTTGTCCATATTGCACTGCGTCGTCATAGGTTTTTCCATAAATTTAAACTAAAATTGACCTTGATAAGGAAAATGAAAATGTGGAACTGATTCCATTGAGTCGGATTTTACTACTCTAATCAACTGAATTGATTCGAATTTTGAATTTTTAAGTTTACTTGAAATTAAAACCTCAACTTCTAAGAACTTAAAACAAATTAAGAATGCTACAAATTTTCATATTATTATTATTTAAATAATTAAACTGATCCAGTTTTTAAAGAAACCAGTCCGAAGTACTTAAAGGTATACAAAAAAAAATCATTGACATTAATCGAAATTCATTTAAAATAAATTTTTATTAAAGTAAAATCATTCCAAATTCATCTAATCATTCACTTAATAATAACTTACTAAATTTTTGTAAGAAATAAAACTTCTTTCAGATGTTATTAAATGAGCTTAATAATCTTCAATTTTCACGCTGCCAAAAAAACATTAAGGTATGCTCAAAATGAATAGTTAACATCTATGGATAGTGATTTATGCACATTATTTTAAAACATTTTTTACATGAGTTTAAAAAAGTAAAATTTTTGAACATAAAAAAAATATTCGTTAAAGATGGCAAGTTCGTTTAATGCAAATTTTCTTAAGGAAACAAAAGTATTCGTAGAATTATAAAATAAATTCAGCTCGTTGACAAAGTATAAAGTATAAAAATAATGAGAAAAAATATGTATTTATATGTAATTAGCTCTCACAAGAAAATGAAGGAAAAAAATAGAATTTTCATGTAAAAAATAAATTCGGCACTTCCATAATTCTTTTTTGAATCCCTTTGAATGTTTTTGTTGTTTTTTATTCGCTTTCATTTAACTTAACATAATAAAACAAAAAGATTTATGTTGGACTTCTTTCACTTCATTTGCTGTGCCTGACAACTGGTTTTGTTTTTTAAAAATAAATACGCAAAGTTTTTTTTTATTCACTCTATTATGCTAAACCAAAAAGTTTCTCGCTTCTCTCCTTATAAAATACAGTTTAACGACATTCATATACTTTGATCGTTTGATCGACACTGCCCGATATTACATACGGATGCGTTTTATGCATATCTAAAATGAGAAAGAATATTTATACTTGATAAGTTTTTCATTCAATGATTTAATAAGTCGCAACGAATTATTGATTTTCTAAGTCACACAAACTTGGAGTTTCTGAATGATTACAAAAAATCACACAACAGAAATTCCGAGGAATCAGTTATTAAACTGTGTAAAGTTGGCATTCAGTAAAAAAGCAGAATTTTCAAATTAAAACTTAGATTCAGTCTCATTTTAAAGGAGTGCACATTCAGTTCTCATATTAATCCAAAAATTGGATTACGTCTCGAGTAACTTAACTGGATTGATAATAATAAAAATAAGTCACTGACCAACTAGACTTAATTAACGACTTGTAAGGTCACATAGATTCAGACTGTATAGGAAAAATATTAATATTCCCATTTGTGAAGAAACACTTTATATGTAAATTCAGATTGTTAATTTCTATTTCTAGTTAATTTGTCGAGGCGTTTAGAATTTGTCAGTTTGTGGGAATCTGTTTGATCATTAATCAATAATACGTACACATAATAAACAAAGGTGAGCTGAACTTACCAATAGAAGTACAAAAGTGTGAATGAGCAGCAAGCGTCTTTAAGCATCGTTTATTACGAATATCCCAAATTCGAATAGTTTTGTCATCACTCGCCGTCAACATGAATTTGCCGCCAGGATGAAATACGATGCCACGAACCCAATTGTCATGACCATAAAGTGTGAATAAGCATAATCCTGATGTTACGTCCCACACTCGAATCGTTTTATCTCGTGAGCCTGAAGCAAGGAAAGGTCCTTGATGTTGTCCCTTTTTATTATCGGCACCTGCAGCTTCATTGATTGAAGCTGCTGCTGATTCTGGTGCCCAAGAAATACATTCAACAGTATGATCATGCTCGCGCAATTCTACTTTCGATTCTTTGGAATTTAAGCACCAGATTCGTACTGTATGGTCATTACTACACGAAGCCATAAGAGTTCCATCAAAATTAACTCGTACCATTCGTACCCATTCACGATGTCCTGAATAAGTTTTCACACAATAGCCTGTCGCTACCTCCCACATCTTAATCGTTTTGTCTCTTGATGCTGATAATAGAAAATCGCCATTTGGAACGAATGCTACTGACGACACGTTGTGATCATGACCATGCATTGTTTTAATACATTCAAATGTCTGTTGAAAATCCCATAATTTTATTGACAAGTCTGAACTACATGACGCTAGAAAATACAATATTTATAAAATTATTAATATTAATAGCATTTATGTTTGACGTTATCCTCGAGCATTATAAATATTTTATCAGATAACACACAAATGAACGAATGAAAAGCTTACCAAGTAATTTTCCTTGCGCATCGAAAGCTATATCTTGAACTGAATCAGTATGACCTTTGAGCGTCCTCTCATATTCACCAGTTTCATAGTCCCAAACCTTAATTGTTGCGTCTTCAGATGCAGACACCATCATACTAAATACCGGATGAAAAACAACACGATTTATTGTTGCACGATGACCAGTTAGCTTGAATTTTTCTGGTTGACGAGGAATCCATTCTGTTGGTGTTCTCTTTGCTTTCGTTGGAGCACCTTCTATTAATTCCTTTTCTGCTTCATTCAATTTTGATTCCAACTCCATTACTTTCTTCTGTAAACGTATTACTGACGTCCACTTTTTTTCTAACAATCCACGATACTTTCTTTCGATTTCTGTTGGAACTTCGGCTTCCTTACGAAAAACATCGAGCGCATCGTTGTATCCATTACTGCCTAAATAATCGGCAATCGCTTGGTTTCTACACGCAGAAAAATAAAAAAATAAATAAAACATTCAGTTGGCCTTAATAGTATGTCAAACTAGAATATGTGGAAGTAATATAAAAAATCAGATTAGCGGCATATTTTCTATGGTTTCACACTTTATGTTATGATGATTACATTTCATCAACAGCTCCAGTTTTTCACTAAAAGTAGCGAATATTGAGATCAAATTTCAACAGCAGAGATTTATGACCATTTTCAATTTCGGTAATTCCAAAAAAAAACATGAAATGAAATACTGAATTATGACACCTTAAAAGAGCAGCAATCTAATTAGGCTTTTTGGTTGCAAATGAAATGAATTGATTTTTTTTTCTTTTATGCTCATTTTATAATCAATCAGTTCCACTCTCAAAACAATAAATTGCGATGGAATATTCAATAAAATATGAACAATTATTTGTCAATTGCTAATTATTAAAATGAAAATAGGTTTTCAATGTCATTAGAAAAAAATTGAGCTTTAAATGAAAGTAAGAAAAAAATCAATAGCTGCTTACATCAACCAAAGTAGAAATGACGTCAACTTATTTTGTCTGATGTTTTAATTTTCCATACAGTATTCTGGGAAATTCCTCAATGGCGAGGATATTAAAATCATGTGTGGGTTGAAGCAGAAGAAAACATCACATTCGCGTATCCTGCGCACTAAACTCTGACTCTAAATTGTACTGTGTATATTTTTAAAGTGTAGACTTGTCTGCATTATGGAAAATTAATTTATATCATGTTTAACTTAGATGTGGCAAATCGAGGAATTCTAGTAAAGAGGACTCTACAAATAACGTCAACACTCAACCCTCCATTATTAAAAATATTTCCAAAGAAACTCCATTAGAAGTCATTTGTGAATGTTCCCTAATATTAATGAAGTATAAATGTTTAAACTCTAATTAGATTAAATTTGTGTACATAAAGGATCATATTTTTGGTAATAATTTTTAAAGAATGTTCAAAGGTTTATCAGGAATTTGGTAGCTTTACTTCAGAAATACTGGATAAAGTTATGAGCACTTGCAAAAAATTAACAAACCTTTGTCATAGTAAATGCAACAAAATTTTAACGAACTTTAAGCATTTTGTGTTTGAATTAGGAAAGAAAATTCACATGTTTCATGTGCTACGGCTTTTCATGACTCTTCAAGTCGTGATCAAGTAATTTAAAAAAATTAAGAATTTTGACAAATCTTTGTTTATTTTTTCTTTTACCAAGCGTCACAATCCGTAGCCTTGATTTTTCTTTTTGTGTTAATCGTGAGATACAATACACAATATTAAAAGAAAAGAAAACATTTAACCGATTATGACACGATATATATGTACAACAACACGCGTAGTATCGTCCAATAACATTGGAGCTGACCATTTATTGCTTCTTTTTTTGTGACTCACAACTTGACGCCCGATTACAATTGTGTAATTCAGTAATTTTTAATTCTTCGTTTTCAAGCAACAACAAATGTTGAATAATATCCATATTCGTCCAAGACAAAGAATTCTTTGAAACATTAAGTCATTATATTTTATATCAATTACTTACAATTCCTCGCGCTGCCGCTGAGATAACACCATTTTCATGTTTTACTTGTTGTTGATGGTACTAATGATTTTTATCCTATAGAAGCTTTGTTCTATATAATTCCTTGAGACTATGCGCTCAACTAGAGCTGAAGCAGAAAATATCGTTTGTTGACTATCACTTTGAACTTACTCCTAATTAAAGTTCAAATTTTTGAAAGTTCATAAAAAAGAATAAGTATAATATGATTTATTAATAATCATGACTTTTGAAATATATGCTGGAAACAAGTTAGGCACTTTCTATTTCACTTTGAATTAATAGATTTGTTGAATTTTTCATGTTCTTCCTCTATCACGCAAGATTGGCAATTTTTTGCATAATTTTATGTTAATTTAGATTCTTCTCATATCAGTTTTTATTTTCTTCTCTTGCCTACGTACTTTTATGAATACACTTAATGCACCGTTAGTAATGTTAATTAAGCTCTTTTTCCTTTCTCTTTTAGCTTGCTATTTCTATGTTTTATTCAGACACGTGATTTAGCAAAAAAAAAATGAAAGATTTCCAATTTTCATCTGTCTAAAACTTAATCTTCATTCAATTATTTTCAATTTAGGAACATTTTTCTTATTAAGTTTCTATTCAATCACACTTTCCGGTTAAAAATTCAGTAATAGGAAATCCATTTTAAAATTAAATACACTTCACCGATCGAGAGTTATGTACTTGACTTAAGGCTATGCAAAGTAGCTTTGGATTTATAAATTCCTTATCACAAAATGTCAATCAGTTAGTTTTGTAAATGCTTAGCAATTTCTTAATCGATTTTTTACACACAGTCCAATTATTTTTGTAGTTTGTTTGTCGAGCGAAGCCGTAAAAACAAAATTTCATTTATCTAATCAAATATATAATTTTCTTTTTCAAAACCAGAAACATCAAACTTCCATTTTTTATGTGCATTAATTTTTTTTTTTATGAAAAATGCTGAGAGTCACAAAACACAAACTTGATTCAGTTTTGTTGCTATTTTTGAACTAATTCACATTTTCAACATATTAACATCACATTTTATGATATTCTGTTTTCTTTCCATCCAAAGTCAGTCTAATTTCAGATTTTTTTTTTCTTGCTCCACAATAATAAGAGCAACATTCGCATTCAATGTTTCACAATAAACTATGAGAGTTGCTGCAGAAAAAAAAGCATAGCATAACAATATTGAAGCAGAAAATGAATTGAGTAAGAGAATTATTTTTAAAGGAAAATAAATTAGTTGAGTGTGCTTGCTATTAAATGAGAGAATAGAGTGGTTTGGAAGTGATGAAGCCTTATAACTCTGGAATTTGAATAACATGAAAAATTTCCATAATAATACTTTATTCTTTTATTATTTTCTCTAACATTTCATTTAATTCGCTTTGCATTGTAGTATTTGCCGCTTCCAACAACAAAAGCGCAATGATGCTCAGTTACCATAAAGTTAATATGCTGTGTGATGTCAATGAGTTACTTTTTTGCACTTTCAACTTGGTAAAAAGAATGAAGAGAAGATTTGCGTGTGACTCATTAAATTCACATATATAATCATAGTTTTCTATGCTCAACAGTTATAAAACAAACGGTGCTAAGTTAAGGCTGATAAATGTGTAATTTTTTTATATAAAAGATCATTTGCATTGACTTAAAACATTTATCCCACTTCCTTTTCAGACATTTTATGTCATCCTTAATGCCCATATGTAATATAATATAAGCGAATTGCATTAACATGTTCCTGAACATTTTTCAAAAACGAAATCAGGCTTCGTTCATTTGTGATGTTTCAAACAGCTTTTCTCGACTTGCTATTTACTGAATAACGTGACTTTAAAAATGCCCCATAATAACAGACATCAAAATATTCTCAAGTCGTTTAAATAGGATTTTAATACAAATCCATGTAAAAATCTGTTACAATTTGCTAGCAACAAAAGAGCCGTAGAGAGTAACATGGTATTTAAGTGGTTATTTTATAACCATAGCTTATTAGAATTACATAATGAATGAAAGAAATATATCATGAATAGTCAAGTGTCAAAAGTGTGGGCGATTTAAATTGTACATATTGGAATGAAATCTATAACAACAGCAATGTTTCAATAGCATTGCGGTTCATTGTTGGAAAAAAAGTAAATAATCATGAAATGGAAATTTAAAATCGCAAAAAGTTGTACATGTAAAAAAATAAAAATTAATTTATATCATGAATGAAATTTTGCCTATTTAAGCCGAACAGGCAGACATGCTGTAGAAAATAATAACACAGAAAAATTTATGTCAATTTTACTTTCGCATATAATTTTTCTTTCATCTCACACTCATCATCTAGCTTTGATATATAAGGTTAGAAATTTACGTACAATAAAGTCATTTTCGCACGCCATCCATTAGCATGTAGATGTATCCATTTCTAAATTCCATGGGTACTCAAAGTTATGAAAATGAAATTTCGTTGCAAGCAACTTACAAATCTTCTTCCATCAGAATAGATTGACCTCCAACACGCAATACAATAAAGCAGGGAATAAATGGATTTTGAGAGCACAAAACATGCCAAGAAATATTTTTTTTACTAGGTACCTAATATTGCAAGATTTGTACTGAAAATTATGCTCAATAAAAAGAAAAATGATCACAAAAACCAGTTAGAGATTAGAAAATTATTTGAAGCACAGAAAATTTAGAGTAATCACAAGTAACTGTAAAACATTTATTTTTTCATACCATACACAAGTGGATGAATGAAAATTCTTATGTGCAGAATTTTATTTCTTATTCTTGTTATTCTGCGCGGCACATGGTACAATGATGAAAAAATTGTATGAGTCATCGTACACAACATTGAAAGCTTACAGCTTCTAGCGTAGCGTACATGTGTGTATGTATGGTATTTTCATGCTTCATTACATTCTATGTTGTGCATATTATGTGAATTTTATATCATCCATAGTACAATAATAGAAATCTTAAGGCAACTAAATTGCATTCAGATGTAAGGCATTATTCATTCCATTTTTATGTCAGTTACGGCATTATGCTCATTATCTGTACATAAAGACTTTGGAAACAATTTGAATATTTTTTTATAATTTTGCAAGATTTTTTTTTTAAACTTTATTTGTTTGCAGAACAAAGAAAAATCAATAGCGGAGAAACGAAAGGTCGCTTTTATCATGAAACATTCCAATCAATAAAAATTTTTTAACGCGACATTTAAAAGAATTTCTTCATGCTCAGCATTTATGTCTGAGGATTATTGTCGGATGTTCTTTAAAAACGTCAATATTGTTTGATACTTCTTCTTTGCAATCACACAAGCTTCTTCAAATTATTTTGTATTTTACTTTATTTATGTCAATGATCAGTGCCAAAAGTCGAGAAAATCAGAGCATACTCAAAGTTTTTCTTCGTTCAGTTTTATAGCAACAAATCAGCGAATGTCATCGTAAGCTAGATGATAAGACACGATTCATACTGCGCACAAACACTTTTGTCAACCGAGCATTCATCTCATTTCAACTCTGTGTTTCAAAAATATATATTTTTTTTGTGCTGACTATAATCTTTAAAAAAAGAAAATGAAAATTCGTGGCATTTCAATGTTTGCAAACAAAATAAAAATTTGAACTTGTATAAAAGTGTTTGTAAACGAACAAATCATGATGAGGTGTTTGTACTTGTAATAATATTAAGCATATCGAGGCTATTCGATGTTTATATTAGTTCAAAAAGATTCATTCATTCATGTTAAAAGAGAAATATGGATACTTGAATGTCAAAAAAATGTTGTATTAATTCAATTGCCATAATAGGTCGAATGGCTTTTGAGTAATACCAAGATACTCAATTAAAGTTTCTTTTAGAAAAAATTTTAATTTTACAACAAATTGCTTATAGAATAGCTATCATCTGTTTGATGATCAAATTGAATGACGCATGGTAATATATTCTAATGAGATTCTTTATTTAATGATGTCTTTTGTATAATTCGAATGTGATTTGAAGCTGTTTATGTCAATGATTAAAAATATTCTTTAAAAGTTCTTAAAGCCCCAATTTATAAACAGCACCAAAAAATATTTCTTATTACTTTCATCTCTCATATTTTTTCATTTTAAACTAGCTTGCGCTTTTATTGAAATGTGAATGATGATTAGAGTTCAAACATCAAATAATATAGAAGGAAAGAGAAGAATCATAATGATGGCAATAATTTTATGTTGCATCAGCACGTTTGACGCGATTTTATTTTTTTCTCTTTATTATAAATGTCTACTGATATTTGCAACAATAAAGTTTTAATGGTAATTCATTATTATTATTATTATTATTTTCATATTTTAGAAAGCGATTTACATATGCACACTTTGGACAGCAATGTGAACAATTTAATGAATTACAAGCATAACCATCAGACATAAGTATCACATTGTGTATATAGATTTCTTCGAAATCAGGTCTCCTGATTTTATTCATTTTGCAGATATCAAAAGGAGAAATAATGAAAAACGAATAAAAGATATTAATTTATTTATGTTTTTCGTGTCCAAGTATTGTCGCCGCAAGAATATTTAACATACAAGAAGTGTTGGATAAAAAAACAGAAATGTATACTGGTCAGTCATGTATTATTTCCTGAATTGTCAAGCATCGAATCGATACATATGGTCGGTTTCCAGTATGAATATAAAAAAATATACTGTAAATGTGTATATATTAAATATGTGTATATATTGATTGAATTGCGTCATTCTGAAGCACTACACTTGACTAGATCTTTTCACAGCAGATTAGCACAGATAAAATATTTTTTGTGAATATCAATTTGGTTTCTTTATGTGAATCTGATATTCCTGTTGTCCAATTATGTAAATTTTTTGTTATGTCGCAATTTTCAATCTTTTAAAATGGAAACAAAAATATTTCTGAGATTCCAATGCAAGTGGTTTTACTTAATAAACTATTTTTTCCTCTTAACGTCTGTCCATTCGTACCGTTGAATGTTGTTCGTAGAAAAAAGTATTTCGTTTGAGGAAAAAAATCGATTGGATGTGTCATCAAAGCAAAAAAAAAAAAGTATCAAAACTCCTTCGCATATTGAGTTTTCAGCTTTGTTCCTTGCACTTAAAAATAATAATCACAAGCGTTGAATAGAAGGGCACTAGCTAGTACAATACTTAAGCATTAGTTTATAATGAAACTTATCAAATTTAAGTGCTATTTTTCAAGAAAATTTTTTTCACTCAAGGCTTTGTTTTAATTTTCACAATTTTTAGCACTTATTCATTGTATTTACATAATCTTTTAATTCACACTTGTTTCCAGCTTATTTATGCACAAAATTCCGATACTTACAAGCAATAAAACTCTTTTAAAATGACTAATTATAATGAAAATATATATGCACTCGTTATTTTGTTACAGAATGAAAAATTTTTTGGAGAAAAAATTATGTAGACTTTTGAATTTAAAATATCCGTTAACTAATCCGACGTCACTCATTTGTAATTTTTTCAGTCGGATATACTTCAATTTTCAAAAATATCAAAACCGTTAAACTCTGTTTACTCGAAATTTTTCTTATTATTTATCCATTGGTTCTCAAACTTTTACTCGCCACGAATTGAGAGTTTCATAAATAATTCAGAATTAACATCTTCCAGGGAAAACGAAATGCTGTGCATCAATAATTTTGTATCGGATTTTTTTCAAAAAATTGAGCCCTTTGAAACTACGCTCATAAGGGAAATTTCTACCTGAAATTTAATAAAATTGTTTTATTTTCTTAATTAATTAATATTAAGTAAATTGATTGAATAAATAGTAATAAAAGATTAATAAGAGCGTAAAGATACTTCAAAGATTGCATTTCATCCAATGAATAGACCAATATATTCAGGTAATATTAAAATGTGATGTAAAAATGCTATTAATTATAGTAAATAACACAAGAAAGCTAGTTAAGTCACGCTTATAAATATAAATATAATATTAAGCTTATATATATGGTAATTAAGTATGTGAGGTGTTATTAACATTATTTATATGATAAATTATACCTTTTTTGTGAGGTTAAAGTCAAAGATTCCAAGAATTTTCAATCTCAGAGTGCATTTTCATTATTTTCTTAATACAGGGGGGTACTATATGTCTCAAGATCAAATGTTAAATGGATATCCACAGCATGTAAGTTTTAAAAAAATCGAAAAGAACAATCCTTATTATAACATCCATTTTATTACAGTCTAATCAAGCTCGTCCTGTGTTGTTGTGGGCACACAGTTATGTTCGGATTCCGCCTCCGCCTCCGCCTCAATATGCCCAAAAACGACAAAGTCATGCTTTAAAAATTACTCACCCAGTTACAAAGGAGGACGTATTGGAAAGTCTTAAGAAAGAATCTACTTTAAGTGAAACGGCAGCAGAGTTTATTCCATCACAAAATTCGGATATAACTGATGCTCAAACCCCGATTGATACTTTGACTGAATTGCCAGAACTTGCAGCACAAGATACAGTTGTTGATTTAGATGACACTCTTGAAAGTGAAGCATTAAATGCAGGATTATCGATCGAGGACGCAGAAGAGAATCCTTCGTTAACTGCAAGTATAAAGCAAATTCCGTCAAATTTAGAACAAACGTTAAATCTGGATGATGAAATTCATTTAACCAATAACTTCAATGCAATAATTTTACCTAAAAAGCAAGAAAGCCATTCATCACTGCCAGACACATCTCGCGACGAATCTATTCGAAAACGTATTTATGAATGTTCACAGTCACCACTATCTGATTCTCATCTACATCAATTTAATCAACAATATTTTGATACAAGAAATTCAAAAACTTCAAATGACCACAGAAATAAAAGTCATCCAAATCAAAATGATCAGATTAGGGGTCGTCCGCAGCAGCAAAATCGTTATAAAAACTATTCTAAAACTTATTCCGGCAATAATTTGGATCATCAGAAAGTAAATCAAATATGTACTCCCCATCCCATAAAAGATTTAAATCAAAATTCCATCATTCCCGAACCTGAGAAATTAAATGAACCTAAATACGACGAGAACAATAATGAAATAATCGATGAATCTGTAAATTTGACGGAATTATCTTTGTTGGAATCGACTGGAGAAAATAGTGAAAGTAGTTTAAATCTAAGCTGCAGATACAGTAGAAAAAAATTGAAGGAACTAAAAACGAGTCCTTTGGTTCTTTCAAACCCACCTACAATTAAAGATGGTTTGCTAGATTCCACTATGAATAGGGCCGTTTGGAGTGTTTTATTCGATAACTATAATCGAATCGAAGAGCATTCAAATGAGGATAGTAATACATCCATGCAAAATAATAAGAGTAATTATTTAAAGAAGACAAATACTAATTTGAGATATGAAAACAATCACAATCAATTGTCAAGATCAAAAAGTGCGAACGAAAAGCAGTTCATAAAAATGAATTTAAGCATAAAGGAAGATGTTAAGCTGAATAAAGCTGATAATGCATGGAAACCGACGCATATGAAACATCCAGAAGCAATGGATGATAAAGACAGAGAATTAGCAGAACTGCTTAAAAACTTCCGTTCCTTACTCAACAAGATAACCGAGGAAAATTTTGATCACTTAGTTAAGGAGATTAATGATAAGCAAAAGTATAAAATTAATTCAACAGAGAAGTTATCGGCGGTAAGTTAAATGACTAAGTCCTCATTTGTCGTAATATTTTAAAATGTTTTTTTTTCACAGATTGTAAAACTTTTGTTTGAAAAATCCATATCCGAGCCAGGCTATGCTTCAACTTATGCAAAACTTTGCCAGGCTCTTTCTACTGTGCATTTAATAAATGAAGAAATTATTGTTGTGCCAAAGAAGACAACAAATCCATGGACTATTTACTTGATTACGCACTGCCAACAGGAGTTTGAACGCTCAAAAGAGGATGATATCATTTTTAAAAGTCTTCAGGACAGGTAATTTCATTATCCTTTAACTCATAAAATTATAAACATCTTAATAAAAATTCTAATAATACAGAATAAATAAGGCAAGTGATACCGAAGAGATTGACAATTGTGAAGATCTCTATTTTAAAATTCGTCAACGTGCAAACGGAACTGTGAAATTTATCGGAGAATTGTATAAAATTAATATGTTGACTGCAAAGATTATGATAGGTTGTATTGAAGTGCTTCTTACGTCAGTTACAGAAGAAAATATTGAGCGTTTATGCAAGTTGCTCACAACCGTTGGAGAAAAGCTTGAAAGTGAATTAAGTAGTAAAAATGACATGGATAAATATATGCATCAATTGTCAAGATTAAAAAATTCCAATGTTATTAAAACACAAAGAATTAAATTCGATATAATGAATGTTATTGATTTGCGCGATTCAAGATGGAGGCAACGAGAAAATGCTCGATCTTTGGAAACGAAGCCGCAGAAATTACAAGATTTACAGGAACAAGAGAATAAGAAGAAAAGATTAATGCAACAACAGTTGAACGATTATCAGCCGAAATGTAATCAAAATAATTTAGGACGACAACACAGGTCACAAAGAAGCTTTGATAATGATCGATTCAGAGTAAATGTTTCCAAGCAGTTTGATTTTAACAAGATAAATATTCCTAAAACAAACAATGCAGAAATGTCTTTTAGACCTCCATTAAACTTATTTCAAAGATTTAACAGCAATCCAGTTCAAATGATGCCGCCACCGACAATAATTAGCAATTCGTATGCAAATTTAGTAACAGATTGTGATGATATGGAGCAATTGCCAACACTTCATCATACTCGTTCCGGATCAAGCAGTAAAAATAATCGAAAGGATAAAAAGAATGGTTCTCATTCGAATGGAAATAATAATAATAATAATAGTAAAGAGAAGTTAAAAGCCCGAACACCATCGCCAGTGATTGAAAAGTCAGCAGATAATAATGACGAGGATGATTTCTTCATGATTGATTTGACAGATGACGAGGAAAAGGATATGCGATTGCTCACAGATAAAATGCAGCAAAATTTTAAGGCAAAAATTACACTCGACATGCTTGTTGCAGATTTGAAAAAGATTAAAATAACCAAAAATGTTCTTGGACAAGTCTTTACTGATCTGTTTGATAAAAAATCAAATGAACGAAAGGAACTTATCGAGCTTATCTATGAAATTTGTCGAAAAGGATTGATAACAAAAGTTGTAAACGTGGATGCTCTTAAGCTTGCTATCAAGTCAATTCCTACAGTCATTTGTGATGTACCACTTGCTTATGATTACTTTTCCGAATATTGTGGTGAGTGATAATCTAATTAAGTGTCATAATTACCTTATGATACTTTAATTCGTTAATTCCTTTTATCTCTGCAGTTTATTTTTACGAAAACGGATTGATTACAACGATGGATGAAATTGAAAGTATTTGTCAGAATCAACAGAATGCTTTGGAGAAAGTAAAAGAAAAATTAAAAACATCACATGCTAAAAATGAATGCAAAAATCCCATAAATGTAAAAAATACTAGAATAGTAAATGATGGAATTTCAAAGGGTCTAAATCAATCGGAACAGAGCATACCCACTAAAATTAAAAACGTGAGTTTAACAGTAACTGTTTTTAACTTATTTTCTACGTGATCATTTATTTCATTATTAGGAACGTTCTCTGTTAAAAATTATGAATTATATTAAATTTAAATTAGAGAAGAAGCAGAAAAATGCAAGCTTTTTAGAAGAAATTTACAGTGAAATTGATGTAAGTACATTTAAGTTTCAATTTGTGTCTTGTAATAATATTATTAATTCAATTTAAAGAAGGAAAAATGCACAGAAGTTTCGAATTTCATCAAGGATTTAACGCTTACAATATTAAAGTCTTGCCACGAAAATAAAGGAAAGAAAAACCAAAAGAAGTTAGTTGATTTGTCAAAAATGTTTCCATTATTTATTCGCTACATCGACAGTGACGTTTCATCTCAAATCGATTGCATAAATGCTCTCATTGAGTTTGCATCCAGTAATCCGAGTATAGGTAATATTGGGTTTATGATAAAATATTTTACTCGAAAAGCTTAATCTCTATTAATTTCACAGAAAACAAAAATTTATGCAAACTCTTTGATTTGTTCTACGAAAACGATGTCATATCAATGGAAACATTTTTTTTGTGGAGAAACCAGAACCCAAATTCTCCATCAAAACGTAAGTTGATATTAATTTTTAAGTGACTTATTTACATTAACTTTTAAATTGATTCAGACGAAGCACTTAAGCAAACCACGAGCTTTTTCACAAGACTCGAGGAAGCTGATATATCTGATGATTTCAACTGTACAAGCAGTACAATAAAGGAGGATTGAGCTTTGTCTTCAACTTATTTCCTGGATGAAATTCTAAAAACTTAATAATTATTTGATCGTTAGGATTGTTAACGAGCATGATCAACACAGGAAAACTACAAAATAAATCGTCGAAATTCCGGAAATAAAAATGGAAAAAAATAATTGTTTTACTGTTATCCTCAGTTATTTAAATTTTACTGCCCCAAACTTATAACCAGGCTTAACTTTAAACAATGTGCTGTTACTGTTAAAAACCTTTAATATCCCCCACGGTGTAACAATTTTTACCCTTGTGCCAAACTGGCCAGACTTTTGCAAGATATTTCGACGATTTTCTCTCGCACGATTATTGACCGACAATTATGCAAGATTTATATAAGATTTTGTCAGACATTTTATTAAAAAGAACTCTTTCATTTTCTGGCAAATCTGAGTGCAAGAATGCGCTAGATTTATTTTTTGAAAATGGAATGAAATCTTTCATTTCATGACTGTTTTTCGCCAGATTTTGTCAGAAAGAATTCAATTAAATTGAATTTATAAACCATTCTAAACATATAAAGAATAGAAAACAGCTTAAAAGATCTTTGGCAAAACTCTAGACACATTTTTCGAGCAAGGATCCTTCAATTAAAACATCCACCGTACAAACACCCTCGTCTAGACTTAATCCTAGCTGTGATAATTAAAGTTTGCAAATGTGCAACTTAACAATTTTTTTTCGTCATATCATAAATATATAATTTCAAATAGCGCTGGTTCAGTGGCAAAGTACAAGACTTCAAAAAAATTCACAACTCAGTGGTCTTCAGTTAAATTCCCAAGAAAAATCTGTTATCTTCATTATCTTGCAAAAATCGTTCGGGTAAAAAAATTTGCTTGTGAAGGTACATAAGAAGTTGAAAAAACCTTATAAAAAAAAATTGAAGCATAGTATTTCCAAAAATGTTTCAAGGTCGTCCGAAACTTGCATGCAAGTTCACAACTTGAGTAAGATTTACCTGGAAAAATCATGCAAAAATCGGTCCGAAGAAAATGCGATGGCATTCCCGTACAGCTAGGAATTTTCAATGTAATTGAAAAACCTTTCATAAATCTGGCATTGTTCAAAAATCTTGCCATTTTGGAGCACGGGTATGTCATTCCTCATGAGTGGAACTTGAATTTAAAAATCAGCTGCATAAGTAATTGAGAAAAGTTAAAAAAAGGATAAATTTATATAATTTTTTTTGTATAAAATTATATACTCCACAAGAGCAAAAATTTGTAAAACTTGTTTAATTAAGAGGAAAAATTACGGTCAAAAAATATGGAAATCGATTAAACAATCACAATGTCAGCATTAGTAGAATTGATGGTTCAAATCCTCTTAGGCTTTTCTTATAGAGACTTTTAATATTTCAAATTTTATAGGATAAAGCTCTCAAAGCTAGTAGTGAGAGTTATGAAGCGCATTTTTGAAAACGCGTGTTTGAAGGTAGGTAAGCTTATACACTTTTAGATCCCCTTAACCAGACATTGTAGAGAGGAATCGTCATGATAATTAAAAGTCTGGAAACAAAGTAATAGTTTTTTTTTATTTCATTCAAGAAACATATTATACGTTTGTTCAGAACTTCAAACTTTTTTTTTACCTTTAAAAATTTGTTAATAATTTTATTACGTAAGAGTTAATTTAAGATTTTATTAAGTCTAAAACTTTAACAGTGATCTGAGTATGAATAAATTTTTCTTAATACATTAAAAATTATTTTACAAATTTTTTATCTTCTTCTACTTTTACTCTTGAAAATTCGACTTGTGTTTGCCATAAATAAGATGGCTGTTAATAAGAAAAATCCCACACATGTTGCAATTAATCCAATTAGCGTTGAATGATAGATATCCGATCCATCAAGCACATGTTGATACGGTTGTAATTTAAAATCTGTGAGAATTTCAGTACCATTAATTTTACACGGCTGTTGCACAATAATCTCTTGTTTTTGAACCTGAAAATAAAAATCATCTTTAGCATACTTTTGTCAATGGCAAGAATTCATAAAGGTTACATGTTTGTTTCTGCATAACTGCATTGCTCCAGAATTTGCGATTGCTTCATCGCTGTATTCATCCTTTGTGAATATTGGAGTGACCCATTTTTGAGGTGATGCATACTCTAGCCATTTTACAAAGTCTGGAATGTTTGCAGGATGAACTATATAGCCACCAACTGATAAATTTATGACGAGTAGCACCACTGCTGTCAATAATGATGCAAACACTTTGTGTGGCATCAAGAAATGTGATGAAAATAGAGCAATTGTTTGCACGACCATTAGATATAGAACCATATAACCTAAGGATAGAAAAATAAAAGCAAAATTAGTTAAACTTCCAGTGTTGTTTGAGTTGAGACTTACCCAAGTATATATAAATGCCGATATCATTGTTTGAAGTATATAAACCAGCCATACTGTGAGCTGGCAATAAATAAGCAAGCCAAATGCAAATATTTGGCAATACACTTAAGAATGATTGAATGATGATATATACAGTACGACCATACATCTGTAAATAAATATCTTTCTCGGCAGATTTTCTATCATTTTGCACATCTCTGATAAATAAAAGAATAATTGGCCAAAAAGCTATTGCCATCATTGTATGATGATATCCTAATCTGTCATTATAGACTAGTAGTGGATCTGATGATGGAATATCCCAAAAAATTCCTCCAATACAAAGTGATAGAACTGCTGCAAGAATAAGACGACTTATCCATGTTAGAAGTGATCCTGGCTGCTTATAAAATAAATAGCGATTAACTAGTGTTATAAGCTGTCCAAAAAATCCTGCCGATCGTGCTGGATCAGGTAAACTGGCTAATGGAGCCGCTAAAGGAGGCTCTGAATTCATGCGATCCCATGCATTTGCTAATGATTCAATTCGTGCTGATGACTCAAGTAGTGCAGCAGCAGATAAATCGTCTAGTGTTACTAAATCCACTAAAACATAATTATGGTCATTAAGAAAACATAAATTAATAATAATATTAAGAAGTAGTAAACTTACAGTAGTAATCAGCTGGATTTTTAAATGGCGGACATGGATATCCTAACTGAGACATATGACGTGGAAGATCACCTCGATTTCCACTAAATATTGTTCTTCCACCGGATAGAAGTAATACACCTGAGCACATTGACAGAATTTCAAATGTTGGCGGTTGAAGAGTCATTATACAAATTCTAGAACTACACCATTGCCTTAAGTATTCTACAAGAAAGAATGTATCAAAAATGTCCATATTATTTGTTGTCTGATCAAGAACCAAAACGGAACATTGTGTAAGCAGTTGACACGCAACATTTAATCGCTGCTTTTCAGAATGAGTTAATCGTGATATCGCTGATGAACGAACTGCTGTAAGACCTAGATCTTCAACCAAAATATCAATCTGTGGGAAAAACAGACATCATTAATATTTGAGGTATACAGCATAATAAATTCAACATACCCGTTCTTTTATATCACTGTTATCCAAGGGACCTTTCAATACAGCATGATACGAAAGTGTATTTTGAACGCTCATTCGGGGGTCAAGAGATGCAGCTTCTAATGCTGGCACATAACCACATAATTGTCTTAACATTCCTCTCGAAACTTGTTGCCCATTTATAAGAATTTCACCGCCTAACCTTTCTTTCAAACCAGCAATTGTCTCTATAAGCGCAGTACCCTCCCTACTTGATGTGGCCATAATTGCAAACAAATCTCCTGCTTTAGCCTGCAATGAGACTCCACGAATCTCGTCAACGTCAAGACAATGAATTTGTATATTTGGATATATTAGTGTTGAAGAATGGCGACGAGATATTGCAGAATATTGATCCATTCTCATGCGTGGATCTCTCGTCTCGCCATAGACTCTTGAATCGTATTCATAAACCATTTCTCGTTCGCCTCCAAGCAAATCAGCTTCGCTGTGTGATCGATTATGGCTGTATCGTGATGTTCCATTGTATTGATTGATTTGTGTTCCGGCTATACTTGCTCTACTGTTTGGTTGCTTTAATGCTGTGACTGGTATATTATTTTGTGCTCTTGAACCAGGTCTGGAATGTTGCATCATATTAATTGTACGAAAATCCGATTCGCTTCGATATTTTCTTAAATTTGGTGGCAATCGTCCTCTTGTCGTCTCATTATCACTACTATCATAACCAGACGAAACACCACCACTATCTCTATTAAATCCTCGATTAATTCTCCCTCGACTTCGTTGATGTGGTGCATTTCTTTGTGAACGTTGAGATCCATTTGGAGGGAATACTCGAGGTAATCCAAATTTTAAATATGTGTACATATTTGATCCCAAAGGTGATTTGGGTCCATAACGTGGATGATTGAGGATTGAATGTACTGTAGTATCACGGAGCTTGAAATTTCCGTATGGCAGGGGTGATTTATCGGAACTGCCTAATGCTGAATCCGTAAAATCTGAGTTTAAGTTTTGCCTACATTAACAAAAGAAACAACATATGGTTAATTTAAAGCTTTTCATTTCAAATCTATAACTTAAATTAATTAGAATTATTGAGAACCGGCTCTTCTTTTAGAACACACCAATAAGTTGGCATTAAGTGCGTCTGCATCAGTAAATAACTCGCGAACAACTGTCGATCATTCAATAAAATAATGGGAAATTGTTATAAAGACATGGAAGAAACGATGATGAAGAAGAATAGAGGAAGAAATTTTTCGGATCTTTGGTTTTTTTTTGTAGGTAATTTTCGTTTTGATAGTAAGTAAGTAAGTTAGTAAGGTAAGAAAAAACAATCAAAATAATAACAAAACGGTTCTCGTGCCTCATCATCGTGATCCCGTTTATGGTAAATTTAATAAAAAAAATAGATCCAATTTTGCTTTTTAAGCCGATTGCAAAACAAAAGGTAGAAGTATTTTTTGTTCTATATTTAGCTTAGCTAAAACAGAATTGGATAATAGAAATGAAAATAGTTTCTTATTCAGACCACAATTTTGTCTGGTTATGTCTGCGAGAAACTTAAATAGATGAAAACTTAGTTTATCGTTTTCAATCATTTTAAATATCTTGATATTAACAGCTTTAAACTGCAGACTTTTCAGTAGTTATTTACTTTTAAAATGGATTGCTGCTTAAGAAACTGAAACAAGTGGTATTTTCGTTTGAAAATTTTGTAATCATAGAATATTATTAATTTTAAAGTAGATACAGCTATGGGATGATCATTGAAAAGACCGAAGCATTTAAAAGGCATGATGAAATTCATTGAGCAAAAGAGCCATTGAATCTGTAACCTAATTGCCGACATACTATAATTATTAATTAATCAAAGATGTTAACAGTATAAATCCTACCTGTATATCGACCACGCATGTAAATCTTCACTGGCAGGCGGTAAAGGTCCATGTGGCACTGAATATCTTCGTTCTTCACGATATGTGTTCATTTCCATTTTTCGCTAAATCTTTCAAACAAAACGTGTGAGTGAAGTAGAAAGAGGGTAGGTGAGAAGAGATGAAAGATTAAATCTGTAAAAAAAATCATGGAAATTAATACCAAAAAAATAATAGAAAGATTTTATTGTAGGTGCACTTGACATTGTAATTCCTACAGAAAAGGTTTCTGGCAAAACAATAGGAGGTTATGGCATTCTACAGTGATTGTTACCGCATATAATGTTAAAATTACATTTGTACCTCATGCGTATATTATAATTATTTATTATCATTTCGTCATATCTCAAGAATATTACTACTGAAATGTTTCAATGAAATCGAGACTTTCTTTCACTGTCATTAAATAATTAAATAATTTTTGTTAATTTGCATATTAAATGCATCCATTATTTTCAAGCTGTGGATCATTTATCTGAACGATCCATTCTCATATGACGAAAGATTAACAACTAAAGAAGCTGAAAGCTTAATTGTCTTTATTAATTAATTTATCATATCATATTAATAACATACTCAATGTGCATGAAGGTTTGTATTACAAATTTTTGTGAAGAAAAATTTCCACAATTAATTAAGTATGATTAAAATGCAATAATTTCATGAAGTTTGCTGAAGGTGTTGAACAAAATTAAATCAATGAGCATTAGGCTCGAATTGCAAAAAAAATAGCTTCATTCAAAAAACCACACGGAAACTTTAATGACGACTGTTAAATCTAGACACGTTCAATGGTGTAGCAAAATAAATGTGGTTAACTGACTGTGCACGGAGATTTAAATTAAGAATGGAAGTTTTGCTATTTTTGATTTGAACTGGACATGTCAGAAATGTATGCAGCATTTTTTTGTTATTATTTCAGAGCAAAAAAAAGGTATTGAATTCAAGTCATTATCTACTTTAGATTTTGCATGCATAATCTTTTGTATATTAGATCTATTGTCAAGGTTCAGAATGAATTGAGCGATTCTGGTATGGATAATGTTCATTAAACTATTTAATTAAGTTCAATAATTGCTAAAATGTTGATGTTAAAGGAGCATTTAAGCATGTCTCTATTGTTTTATGCTCTGAGAAGCATAGAGTGTGTCCAAGAATTATATCTTGATTTTACTTCTTCTAAAAGTGCATGTAGCTTGTGGAAGACATTTTCTATGAATACTGTAAATTTTTCTCATTCAATGCTATAAAGTTTGTTGTGTAACGTTTCGACTGAAAAGAGTAAAAGAATAATTGTCATGTGAGTCAAATTGCTTTTATACACTTTATCTAGCTTAGAGCTTCTAAATTCAAATATGTATTTCGTAGGGCTAATTCGCATCACTTCAATTCCCATATTGGGAGTAACTGTCGAATTTTTTTTGGCTGTATAATACATTCTCGTTACGGTCTGGAAAGTCTCGTTAATTTTTAGATTCTCTTTACATTCATTATACTATACGCATAGATCTAAATTGTAAAATGAAAGATTGTTTCATATTAATATGAAAAATTGTCTGTTTTGGTCAAGCTTACGTAACAACCCTATGCATTAATTCATGTTCTATCAAAACCATTGCATGATTTATTTCAAATATTTGTTCGATTCCTCTAAGGCTTTTCAGGTCAAGAAATGCATTTCTATATTTAGAATTTACATAACAGTTGATCATATATGTAAGATTTTAAGTTTTATATCAAAGCTTATAGCATGTGCGTTATATTAAGACAAACAAAAGCCGTTTTTAATAAATGGTAAAAAATGCAACAATATTTTCACAAACTGTCATGATTCATTTACTTTGAAGTTGTTAACAAGCCTACGTATGTAATTGGGTATTTTGGAAGCAGGTTGTTTAACTGAGAATTGAGGTTTTGTGAATAATAAGTTATGACACATTAGGAATGCAAAATATATTTAAGATTTCATTCATTTAAATGAGATTTGTATTTCCTTTCCTTATAAGTGTGTAAGCATTTAATATTCATTCATTAATTATTACTTTATGATTTTACTGCACATTTTATTTCCATTAATATCACATGAATAAAGAAACAATAAGATAAATCTTTCAATCTCGTCAAAATAGGATTTCCTTTTGCAAAATAAATAATTTGTCAAAATGCTAGTTATATAGACAATTCATCACTTCAACTACAATAAATCAAAGCTTCCAACCATCTTCCGATCTCAGGAAATGGCCAGCAAAATATTGCATTCATTAGCATTGCAAAAAATTGTTTCACTTTTATTTTTATTGTGGAACTATTTTTGTGTGTGTGTTTTTAAACAATTAATGATGCGACCTTGACCAATTTCTCACTTCCGGTCAAAAGAGATAATATTTTTCATAACAAAGTGCTCTTCACCTTTTTTTTCATTTTCGGCATGTAAAATGAGATACCTGACGAATTACTGGTATTTCACATTGGTCTCAAAAACAATGATGCTGATTAATTACATCAAACTCCCATCAGGTAATAAATATCAGAATACGCCTATTCCTAATTAATTCAATCCACCACATGCTGCCACTAATCCATGAATTAAAAGATTGAAATTTGGAATGGGAATTATTGACATAGATTTTGTCATCGACTCACTCACACACCACATGTCGTTTAGTGGATTTTTCACATATAATAATCAGGCACATAAGTAAATGCTAAATGTCTATTAAATAGCAAATATTTAATGTATTTTATAGGCAGAAAAAATCGAATTGTGAACATACGAAAATATACAGATAATTAGATATCAAAGTGCGAGCTGTACTCAAAATCTCGATTCCATACAATCGAAAAAAGTTTGTGCTACTTTTAATTTTTTTGCTTTTGAAAGAGCCTTAAAGCAGTATCATATTTAATTAATGATATTTCTTATTTTGATTTTATTGGTTTTTTATAGAAAAAAAGTTTAAGATTTAAAAAGTTACAGGTGGAAGCTAATTACCATTGAAATTGATTGTAGGCAGAAATGCTAACGATTTTCTATTTTTATTGTGTCTTAAACAGGCTTTTAAAAGCACAATTTCTAATGCAAAAATTTTGGCTGTTTAAATTATGACATATACTTTAGACGTAGTAAAACGTAGTCCATACCAGAGCTCGAAGTCGACTCGAGATTTTCATCGATTTTGTATGGCGAAAACGACTCAACTCCATACAAAACTTCATCGACTTCGAGCTCTGGTCCAAACTATGCGTAGCGAGATTTTTCCAAAATGCCCAAATATGACCATTTTTTTGATTCATGTTCCAAATTAAACCAAATTAAACCAAAACTATTTTTTTTGGTGTCGCGAAAAAAAATTTGACTCAAAAGTGTGTCGCGAACCAAAATAGTTTGGAATACACAGCTACAGAGACAATCGCTGTCTAGTTAAATCCAGGAGCTGAAATGATTAAAAATAGTCAGCTTAAAATTTGAATAAAAACGCTTTGTTTTTGATTTGGATGGAGATTTATTCCAATTTAAAAAAATCTCTAGATCTCAGCGTGTCATCGACTGTGAGATCTATCAACAACTGACAATTAACATTCTGAAATAATATCATTAAATGAATTAATGTGATGAAATAGAGTTGAATGAAATGTGAAAGAAGAAGAAATTAAAAAATTTTAAATAAAATAGGGATCCATGTGAATCAATTGTTATTATGTAAGTATGCAAATTTTATGAAGCTCTGTTATGCTTATTTTTCTAATTTTTCATTAAAATGCGTTGCGTTTATCAGCTTTGATCTAAGAAATGTAAAGTGAATATGTTTTACTCAGTTTGTATGGTGATCAGTTGTAAATGACGTCAAAATATACGGCATGTTTCACTAAAGTGGATTATCCTCGATTTCGGATTATCCACTTCAGTTTTTGGAAATATCTTAAACTTTATGGGAGGTGTGGTATTTCTAATTTTGGATTATAATAGAGTGAACTATGCCTGAAATTTCTGTATACTTTAAACTTTTACTTTTTGTTAAGAAGTATTAATTATTCAATTTCCCAGCCAAATCTAGTAGATTAACTTCAATTTTTGCTATAATTCTCAAACTAGTGAAGATATAAAAATTCTAAGTATATGTTAATTTAAGTAGCAAAGTACTCTTGCTAGATCACACATTAGATCTCTTAATAACCTTAAGCGTCTGTCGATATTTCCAAAAAACTGAAGTGGATAATCTACTTTAGTGAAACAGGCCGATAGAGTTGGGGTATCTAAAGTTGAATGATATTCCAGTTTCATAATTGAACATCGTGAATGTCGTTCAAGACAAATTTCAATTTTCATTTTTATCAAATTATTAAAAATAATAGGGCAAGATCGAAAATGAATTGTTCGTGACGCTAAGCAATAATTTACAATTTTTGAATTAATAATGCGAAATATGTATTTAAGACTTGTGTTTTTCTTAAAGTCCTTGCCAAGACCTTTATTTTGGTGTATAACAAGTATCTCTTAGACATTGTATTATAATTAAAAATTAATTTAAAGTGCTTAGCGTCACGAACAATTTTGAGGAAATTCGATTTTACACCATGTTGCTAATTCAATATCTCTGCAACTGATTCACCAATCTTAGAAATTCTTTCACTGAGTAATTAAATGATCAGAATAGTGAATTATTTGCATAAAATTATTAAAATGGTGGTATTTTAAGTTAGCTTAATTAATGTTTTAAATGTTTAGGTTGAAATTTCTATATGAAAGAAACATCTTAATAACTTGCTTTCATTACAAAAAAGCTAGCAAATATGACTGTCTTTAAGTTTATAAAAGAAAATTTTAAGTTTTACTTTAATTAAGAAAGTTACAGTGAGTTTAAGAAAACTTCTATTTAACCATTACTCTTTTATTATTTTAATGATCTCTCAACTTGAAACTGTAAAAATACATTAGATGCATCTTTTTGCAAAAGAAAAACTTAAAAATCTTTATGGAAAGTCAAGAAAATCATAAAAGTTTAAATAATTTAACCAAAATATTTGTAACGGCTTTGAAAAATTCAAATATTGTGTGAAATCATGAGCAACACAGAGCAAAACATGTTGCTCAATTGAAATTACAATGTTTTTAAGTTAATTTAACTCAATTTTAA